TTTGCCCAAGTTTAAACCTCGAAGGAATGATACCGGTCCTCACACATAATATGGTTATGATGGATGAGAGCGATCAAGTAATCTTTGGCTAGTAAGAGTTGGCGGGGAACTTGCGCAAAAGTGTTTCATAATCTTCATTGATGGGATATCACCTAGAAGACTGACCAAATCTGCAAAAAACGTACCACGAAGGAATATCGTCCGGGTCGCTCTATAGCACTTTTTCACCAGTGCACCCAGTGAGGCGTCGGAATTCAGGCACAGGAATGAAAAACATTGGTATTTGCGTTTCGTATATGATTGATTCTGCGAGTAACCTTGGCTAATGTACGTATCAAACGAGGGGAATTTAACCCACCTCTCCAAGAGCATGTACAGAGTAATATGAAAACCGTCGTTTTCGGACTTTGAAGGCCATTTCTTGTAATTGCTGCTTTCCTTTCTAGTCAACGATGGTACCGTTTACTGGGTCAAAGTATTTGAACTGCAGCTCTCCGAATAACGGTCTACCCCAACAAATCTTGGCCATCATCGTTCATATTTTAAAAAGGGATGATTGGGTTTTGACCATCTTCATGGATTCCCGCAGTCTCAGCTGCTTACAGCCACTACAGTTGACCACCGGACCAGTGGGCACACTTTCACTTGTCAGGTAGAATATCAGCGTTCGTTTCGTATGTTAAAAAGCTACAGATAAACCGACCGACCCACAGTGTTGTCTTCAGAGTCAGAAAAAATTACCTTTTAAAGGAAAAGGTTGCCACCCCATAAGTGAAATTACAATCAAGAGGACAGCTTTTATTTTTCACGTCGCTCACCTAGTCCCAAGCGTTCAAACATTGCTGTAATGAGAAAGAAGTTGAGACCAATTCACTGTGCCTTCAGGAATGCAGCCTGCAGCAAAAGATTCGTTCTCGTAAGCGCGAATATATAAATACTCACTTTACGTGGTCTTAGCTGAGCTCGCCAACGATTTGTAGCAAAAAACTCTGCGAGTGCTTTGCACACTACTACAGCGCAGCAATAATTTCTCACGATTGGATCCGAGTCAGTTCCATTGCTGATTCGTATAGAATCCTTTTTCAACTTTTTATTAGCAAAAGAGACAAGCTGATCTACCCGTTAGAAAAGGTTCCGCTCAATTTTTTTCAGTATGAAGTAACTGATTTAGTTGCCGTATAATTGGCGGAACAAGTATACGATTTAATAATGTACACAATTTTTCACAAGGTGACTTGTTGCAAAATCCATCTCCATGCTCCGCTCTTTTCTTCATGGAGCACTTCATTGTTGTTCTTTCAACGAGCACTATGCGGAAAATTTCCAACATAGCCAATAAAGGGTGCAAATCAAAGAGCATCTAACCTATTTGGAACGATTAGGTCAAGCCTATACATTCTCTATATACACTATTCGGTGAACTCCATTGATTTTTTACATTTTGTTCAATATTCTAACGACACCGGATGACACCATCTCAAAAAAAATATTCCCGGTCAATGCCGCGCACAAAAGTATTGAAATCTGCCTCAGAGCTCCACAAAATAACCGTTAAATTTCACACCACATTCTACAGCGAATGCAGATCGTCCAAAGCCTGCCAACCTCGTGTAAAACCCACTTGCAGTTGTTAGCTACAAAAATGGTTTGGCAGAATTCCGTGAAATTTTCAATGGGGGTGACAATTGAAGTTACCACCAACAATTGAGGAAAACTCAGTCGGCTGTAACGAGAGAAATTCATTATCCTGCATGTAGAAGTGAGAGTTATGAGTGTAAGTTGAGACCAGATTGGTATCACGGAGCACACGCGTTTTTCAAAATCACTTATGTGCCACTAGTGACGTGATGGCGCAAAATGCCACGTATATAGCGACAGTAATATTGGAGCTGAATGTCACATGACCAGGAGCAAAGTTGATAGTTGGGAACGAAAAGAACATGTCCGGTCATGCATGTATAGACATGCAAGAACAATTTCGCTACAAGGATGTTTGATGCAATCTGGTCCTGAAAATGGCTATTTATTTTGACCTGAATGTCACGAATAAAGTGCGCATAAAAATGACGTTACTGCGTACTATGACAGACAGTAATGTATGATTCTGGGTCACTTTCACTTTGGGCTCAATAACTTTTAACTGAAAACTTTCTCGCTCAAGCACGTGCCTTGTTACAATGAACAAACCAGCTGGTTTTCTGTTTTCATCTTAGCAGTGCTTACGTTTTCGACCAGCAGGTGCACTATCGCGATCGACACCTAATGGGAGAAGTCTATTCAAACTTAGGAATTTTTTATAAGACCAGTGATGAAAATCAGCTATCTCTTGCCTACGCACAAGTAAGTCTCGTGTGATACTTAAAATTTACGCATTTTGTCTACAGGCTAACTTTGTGTTCATTTGTGGTTACTTTGCTGGTGATGGTGAAATACGGTTGGTCACACGTCGCATGTTCAGCAGATAGCCAGTAACTTGTTGGTCATCACTCACTGTGAGAATGGTTCCTACCAGGCGACCCGGATTACAGCAGATGTTTCGGAATAAATTAATAGTTCCTCCATCTTACTGAATATCAAACGGTTCGAGACACATCATATGATACCCCAGGTTGCTTTACTTATACTAATTTATATTTATAAATTTAACGTGATCAGATTATGTGGTAAAAGGTGTCAACGGAAAATTACAAACGAAAGGTTAATCTTGCAACACATGCTTGATACACCGAGTCGTTTGAAATCAGTAGTTGATTAGGTAAACTAGATTTTACTCGGTTTCAGGTGTTTACCAACACTGAATCTATCCGACAGAGCTGCAACAATCAAAAAAACCTTCAAGCACCATGCGAAATTTTTAAGGATTGTATCAATAAAACCTGGAAGCTCGGTAAACCAGCTCAGCATATTTTATCAACAAAATGCGTTTCTCTTACCTGGAGGCACAGAACAGATAATTTGGCTAAATGCTTCTCTCAAACGTGGTCAAATAGCTGAGTCCCACTATTAATGTTAAGCCTCTGTCTACGCTGTGGAAATACCAGTGTGTACAGGCACCGGAAATATGGTTCAGTATTTTTGGTA